AAGGTTACACCAAAAAAATTGGAAAATTGACCAAAATTGAAAATTTTGCCTTGCGTCTGGCCTGCACGCCGATGCGGGCGGTTTTCGCAAAACGCACGAGCTCCTGCAAGAGCTTTCCAATTTTTGGAAAGCTCTTTGCGTCTTTTGTTTACATTTTTGTGCCTCGTTGCTGTGGATATCATGTACAAAAGAAATCAGAAGGAGTGGAAAAAGGGTTCTCTTCAAAAATTTACACGTCTGATCCCCACATTCGATACTACTAGTAGTAAACGTCTAGTATAATCAAGATGCGTCAACATCCGCCTAATGGGATGTATAATGGGGTTTTCTATGGTGTCCGATTACATGGAGTGACGGCCGGAAGTGCTGGGTCTGAATCCTGAAGCTCAGAGTGTAATGGTTAGTCCATGGCCGTTCCAGAGGCTTCATCACCAAGAGATGCGTTACCTGTTTTGCATCAAGGTGTCACTACCCACCAAGGAGTGAGCATGTCGATATTACATTACAATGTTCTTCAGACTAAGCGGATACTTCGATAACTAACAGTGATAGAAAACCGTATCTCAAACTTACGGAGGAAGAACAAAAAGAGGTCGTACAAAGACTGTTGGATATTCACATTGACTTTCTCGTCCATAATGAACGATCTAGAGCATGGGAACCCGTTAGGATGACTACCGGAATACCAGTTCACAGGCTTAAGAAGTTGAAGAACCAGGCTTGCGAAAGAGGTGAGCAAATTCATGAGAGAATTCAGACTGCTAAACGTACAAAAACAGATTCAACAACAGCTACCGTGTGTGATGATGAAGAGATTTATGTCCAGTTTTACTAGGGTTGTCGTATTTGGAGCATAGCTTGCAAACATAAGGTTCAACTTCTCAAAATCTTGAGCCAATGCCGCAACGATCAATTTCACTTGTATCATGCTAAAAGAATTCAATATATGAGAGAACAGGCGATCGAAAGCCTTTCTGAATTGAACGTTCTGCCACAGTTAGACGGAGATGTTGTTGCTTTCAGAGTATTGAGCAAACTCTTTGACTGTGATGATATTGGCTTGAACAGTGACAAGGAGTTGAAACGACTTGTGGAGGAAAAGAGAAAGAATTATAAGTAGACCATCTTTGAACCTCTCTACAGACAGAAAAAGCAAGATCTTAAAAAGGCAATAAAGATGCGTGAGAGTTCGATCAAGAAGAAAAAAGAGTATAGGGCTACTCTTGTCAAAGCCATCAATGAGAATCTTGCCCTAATGGCTAACACAGAATTAAGAGATAGCATCGCTAAAACTATGCGTCTGATGGCTGAACAAGAAGCAATGGCTGAAAGGGTGAAGAAAAGTGTGATGAAAACATTAGAGTCAGAGGAAGATATGGATTCTTTTGAAGAGTTTGTATCTGAAGAATCTGATATCCCAGATGATGAGTTTGACGACGGCGAATCAGAGGACCATGATTCTGAGGCGAATGTGTCTAGCGACTGTTCTGTAGAGGAGGAGTGAATCAATACAGAAGGTCATTGCTAGATTACAACTTCTTTTGTATCTGTTTTAATATATATCTTTAGTGTTTTTGTATGTGTTATTTCTCATAAAAAACGCCTTGAATGTTTCAACCTCGCATGGCATAATTGTAGTTGATATTTTACCTCAAATTGATATACTCCTCTAATGTAAGCCTTGGTTTGGCATCTCTCAAAGGGAGGTTTGGTTGTGGTGAACAAGATTCTGACAATTTGTAAGACAACAGCTAATAGAGCAAAATTTGTTCACCCTTCCTCTCGGTAAGGCTTTGTCGCCAGCATACGGATTTCGCCATTGTCCTGTGATAAGATTCACCGACCATTCATTGCATATTCCCATTTTGCTTAATCTTTTGTTTTGACGATACAGAGTCTTTTTTTATCAATACTGTATTTGTTAGAGCTCTTTTGGATAGAACGAAGAACCTGTGACTTTAAAGCATGATGATAGTAGGCTTTGTCCCCCCCCCCCAATACGTGACAATGGCTTTTCTCTGGAGAGGTTGATCCGTCCCATCACATACCTGCTAAACCTTCTCCCACTTCTCGTCAGTGTTTTCGAGAGAGTAATGTTGGTGATCATTCTCTGAGCTGAAGTTGTTGTTGTTGTGATTTTTTGGTTGACCAGAGATGCATCAGCGTGCGCTTTTTGTTTACATTTTCTGAAAGACAAAAGGATTTCTAGTTTTCTGCACAAAAAAATTGGAATCTGCGAACTTCTGCAGAATTTGGCTAATTTTCGCTAATTTGCGCTATGTTTTTCTGAAAATTACTTAATACGGCCTTTTTGCGGAAAAAAACGAATTTTCCAATTCTGCAAGTTGCCAGTCAACTCTATTAGAATGATACTTATAAAAATAGCAAACCCCCCTTCAAATTTCCCCAAATTATACCACAATGTAGTGCTTACTCAAATTAAGAGATATACAAAGTATGATCATGTTACCTTCAATACTTTCTGAGATATAACCATTCATAGTTTGTATGGTATAATCAAGAAAAACACATAAATTTGCTTATATCTCA